CAGGCTGAGTCACCGAGCCCAGCCGGAATACTTTCTGTATATAATCTCTTTGACTTCCATCCTTAATAACTAATGTGCTGGGGCTGGGCTTGGTGGCTCAGCCTGTAATCCCAGCGCTTTGGGAGGTCGAGGCAAGTGGATTGCCTGAGCCTGTGGGTTTGAGACCCGCCTAGGCAACTTGGCGAGACCTTGTGTCTACAATAAATAAAAAATAAAAAAAAAATTAGCCGGGCGTGGTAGCTCATGCCTGTAGTTCCAGCTCCTTGGAAGACTGAGGCGGAAGGATGACTGGAGCCCAGCAGGTCGAGGCTGCAGTGGCCAGGAGCGTGCCACTGCACTCCAGTCTGGGCGATGGAGTGAGACACCATTCAAAAAATAAAAAAATAACTAATGTGCTTCTTCTGATGTAAGATTTACGTGAAGCCGCTTTCCGTGCCGACAGCGCTTTTGTAAACATAGTGAATGTTCCCAAAACCCGCCGGACTTTCTGTAAGTGTGGCAAGCACCAACCCCACAAAGTCACAGTACAAGAAGGGCAAGGATTTTCTGTATGCCCAGGGAAAGTGGTGTTATGACAGGAAACAAAGTGGCTATGGTGGGCAGGCCAAGCCAATTTTCTGGAAAAAGGCTAAAACTACAAAGAAGATTGTGCTGAGGCTTGAGTGTGTTGAGCCCAACTGCAGGTCTAAGAGAATGCTGGCTATTAAGAGATGCAAGAATTTTGAACTGGGAGGAAATAAGAGAAAGGGCCGAGTGATCCAGTTCTAATGTCATATTATTTAATTATGAAGAGAATAAAATCTTGAGATTGTTTTCACTTAAAAAAAAGGATTTACATGAAGCCTTTTTAAATAAATGGGTCAAAGCACTTGTGTTTTCCAAGTTAGGCTTTGTATGAATTATTGGCTATTTGAAATGTTTATTACTGATTGTGTCAAAAACACCTTAGCTCCATTTTGTAATTTTTGTTAAAAATGATGGATTACAAGTCAACCTGGAGTTTTTATACCTGTGTCCTGATGAACAGCTAATAGAAATGCAGGATATTTCAGACCGATATCATATTGAGAGTTCTGTGAGGACTGGGAAAGGAAGCCAAATAGAGTTTTCCTGTCCTTGGCCTCTAGGAATTAGGGAACTACATATTGAGGCAAGACCACCAATCCCCAAACTCTGGTTAGACCAGAGGTTTATGAAAACTACCAAGTGCCTGAAAGATATGTAGTCACAGAACTTAGGAGCCTGAGTTCAGATATAGAAACAGACTGAATGTGTCATTAAATAAACCAACCAGGCTAATATGTCTCCTATCAAAATGGGTTCTGAGCGGGCTCAGTGGCTCAGCCTGTAATCCCACGCCTTTGGGAGGCTGAGGTGAGTGGATTGCCTGAGCCTGCGGGTTCAAGACCCACCTGGGCAACTTGGCGAGACCTCATCTCTACAAAAAATAAGCCGGGTGTGGTAGCACATGCCTGTAGTTCCAGCTACTTGGATGGCTGAGGCGGAAGGATCACCGGAGCCCAGCAGGTTGAGGCTGCTGGCCGGGAGCGGCCACTGCACTCCAGTCTGGGCGACAGAGTGAGACTCCAACTCAAAAAAAAAAAAAAAAATGGGTTCTGCATGAAATAGTATTATGTAAACAGTCCCAAGGAATTATTATTGAGCCATGATGTGTGTATCTAAAATTATCTGCTTGGCATGGTGGCTCACACCTATAATCCCAGCACTTTGGGAGGTAAGAGGATTGCCTGGGCCCACAGGTTCGAGACCAGCCTGGGTAATTTGGTGAGACCTCATCTCTACAATAAATTTTTTAAAAAAAACTAGCCAGGCATGGTGGTGCATGCCAGTAGTTCCAGCTACTTGGAAGGCTGAGTTGGAAGGATCACCTAGGCTCAGTCGGTTGAGGCTGCAGTGGATGTGAGCATGCCACTGCATTCCACCTGGGTGACAGAGTGAGACTGACTCAAAAGATAATAAATAAAATTGGCCGGGCACAGTGGCTCAAGCCTGTAATCCCAGCACTTTGGAAGGCTGAGGCGAGAGGACTACTTGAGCCCAGGGATTCAAGACAAACCTGGGAGACTTGTTGAGACCTCATCTCTACAATAAGTCAAAAAATTAGCCAGATGTGGTAGTGCATGCCTGCAGTTCCATCTTCCTGGAAGGCTTAGGCGGAAAGATTGTCTAAGCCCAGCAGGTTGAGGCTGTGGTGGCTGTGAGCCATGCCACTGCACTCCAGCCTGGGTAACAGAGTGAGACTCCAACTCAAAAATAATAATAAAATTATCCCAGTATTTATTGATTTACCTCTTGCTTAATATAATCTACGAGCGGTGGAACTTCATCTCGTCTCACTCTGTCACCCAGACTGAAGTGCAGTGGTACGCTCACAACTCACCGCAGCCTCCACCTCCTGGGCTTAGGTGATCCTTCCACCTCAGCCTCCCCAGAAGCTGGGACTACAGGTGCACGCCATGATGCCTGTTTCCTCCCACCTCCCCCATACAGATGAGGTCTCACTGTGTTGTAAAAGCTGATCTTGAATTCCAGGGCTTAAGCAATCCTTCCACCTCAGTCTTCCAAAGTGCTGCGATTATAGGCATGAGCCACCACACCCAGCCGTCATCTGTTTTAACCATTATGTCCCTGCTTCCTAGAACTGTGTCTACCACATAGTGGGTGCTTAGTGTATGCTTTTTTAAATAAATAAAGACTAAGAAACTAGGTAACTTGAAAAGTCATTCTAGACTTCTGTGTTTCCAAGACTTCAGACTTCAAGGAGAATGGGTATACCTACTCAGCAGGATAAGAAATGTAAATGTTTTACCTTCTCTTGACATATGATCATGTTCATACCTCCTTAATCTGCTGCAGAACAGCAAACCATTCCAGTAAAATGCGGGAGGTATAATCAAACCTCCTCAGTTTCGTCGTTAAAGCACAACATGGAGACTCAAGAGGTTGGAGGAGTGAAGCAGCTTTGTCAATCCAATTCTTGCAAGAATGGTGCCTTTTGGGTGAGCAGGCACACTGAGGCAGTCACAGCCAGCGTCTTTATGCCCTAAAGCGCAAGACTCTCCCCTGGTTTCTTATTGGCTGAGTACTTCAGAAGTTGCATCACTTTCCCAGACATCACCTAAGCAATAATTTTGTACAAATAAGGTAAAAACACAAGAAGTTTTTACACTAATTTGGTAAAATACATGTTTTTAGATTCTGATTAGGTCTCAATGCTTGTCAAAGAAGTTTGCCAAAAGAAAGCTTGCCAGAAAAGAAAAAACAGGAAGTGAAGTAACAAATTGCCATTTTGAAAATGAATCACCATTTTGTTTCTTTTTTTTTTGAGTTGGAGTCTCACTCTGTCGCCCAGCCTGGAGTGCAGTGGCCGCTCCCAGCCACCGCAGCCTCCACCTGCTGGGCTCCGGCGATCCTTCCACCTCAGCCTTCCAAGTAGCCGGAATTACAGGCATGCACTACCACGCCCAGCTGATTTTTTGATTTATTGTAGAGATGAGATCTCGCTGCCCGCGGGTCTCGAACCCACGGGCTCAGGCAATCCACTCACCTCAGCCTCCCAAAGGCCCGGGATTACAGGCTGAGCTACCGAGCCCGGCTTACCATTTTGTTTCTTTTATTTTGCTCACAAATACGCAATTTGGTCAGAACTCACTGGGGAATAAGCATTTCTGCTGCATGCATCATTGGGCATGGTTTAGCTGGGGCTACAGGTTCTCCTTCTGCAGTCCCCTAGCTCACTCAACACCTGTCCCTGAGCTTCCTTATGACATGGCAGCTAGGATGTAGGAGCGGGTGTTCCCAGAGACAGTACACAAATGCTGCCAGTACTTTCACGCCTAAGCCTAAAAACTAGTTCAGAGTCACTTCCACTGTATTCCACAGGCAGAACACACTCAAAAGGATGGGACACAGGCCCTCGCTTCTCAGTGGGTGGAGTATCAAATAATTTGTGGCTGTGATGTAGATGTTACAGTTCCATCCCCAAAGCAGCCAAGTGACATCAAGTGCCCTTGCCCACCCCCAATTCCTGCTCCATGGGTAAAGCCACCTTCAAAATTGTATGTTTCCTTTGACATTTATCTCCATATTTATGTTATTTTTTATTTTATATCTCTACCTAACTTCCCTATGCTCTGGAATTTCAGTTTCAGACATTACCTGTTCACTTCCTACTGTGAAGAACGGTGATTCACTCTAAGTAATAAATTTTGACCACAGTTAACATTTTGCTGGAATTATTTTTTCTTTTCTTTTTTTTTGAGTTGGAGTCTCACTCTGTCGCCCAGACTGGAGTGCA